GCTCCCCCAGCGCCCTGACCTGAGCGGGGCGGGGGTGGTGGATGGGGGATGGAGGCTGACGTGCGCTGGGTTTCCAGGCTCATAAAGTGTCTCGCCCAGGCTTACTAAAGGGGACAAAGGGGGCTGGGGAGGGGCGCAGAGCCAAAGGCTCCATCGGGTAGGGTGGGGGGATCTGCTCTGGGCATCCAGACTTTGCAAGGGGCGCGCCCCCGAAAGGGGCTGGAGGTCCAGGTCAGGTCTTAGGCTGACTGGTCTTGGGAATCTCCCGAGGGGCCCACAGGGAACCAGCTGAGCAGAGGAGCAGGAACCTCCAGGGGCAGGGTTCCCAATGACCCTTGCCACCCTGACCCGTACCTGGTGGGGTAGGGACAAGAGGGGTGGTGGAGACCCCTGACCTTCAGGGTTTTGTGGGTCAGAAATGGGATAAGGCTGCCCCCTGGTGCCTGGCAGGGGCACAGACCTGCCCCCAAAGATCACAGGCCCCGAATCCCCAGGGACTTCCAGGCGTCCCGAGTCAGCCTGGGTGTGGGGAGACCTTCCCCCTTGATAGCTGCTCAGAATTTTCCAGGGCACAGATGAACCTGCAGCTAAAAAGGAAGGGGTCAGCGCCCCCACCAGCCTCCCGCCCCCCCTTGCTGGAGCCTGTCGCTGCCATCCTCAGAGGGCTGCCTGCTCACGGTGGGAGGTGCCACAGGGGTGTAAAGAGAGAGCTCTGTTTAGGGGGCTGGGAGACACCACCCCCACCCCCCTGCAGTGACAGGATCTCCATGCTCAGGCGGAAGAGAGGTCTGACTGCAGACAAAGCAGCAATTCCCCTCCCAGGGAGCATGAATGAGGGCTCTCAGAGGGAGGGTAAGAGGATCAGTTGGGAGCTGTTCTCCCTCTGTGGGGTCACAGGGGGCAGTGGGGGCGCCGGCCAGCTGAAGGGTGCTAGAGACTGGCCAGACAAGGTTGCAGCCCAGCCTGGTGTTGGCCTTTCCACTGGTACGCTGCCATCTCTCCAGGGTCCCTACCCTTGGTGGTCGTTTGGGGATGGACAACAGTGCCCCCAACCTCACTTCTTGTCCTACTTCTTCCCAGCTGCAAGCAGGCCCCTTGAGAAGGTCCAACATTCACCACACTTGCCCTTGGCCTTGCAACTGCTGGCCTCCTTGGGGCTGTCTTCTCCGGCTGCTAGGTCCTCAGTCCAGTCTGAAGGGTTCTGGCCCTTCAAGACATGGGGAGGAGGCAGGCTTGGGACCATCCAAAGGGAAGGAGGGGGTGAGCACTGGGGTGAACTGGTGCCCACGGGTGATGGGGGCGTCAGACGGCTGGGGATGGGGGGCGGGGCAGGCGGGCAGGGTGACATTATCCTGAAGAATCCTGGCTCCGGCTTGCAGGCACAATGAGCTTTAGAATGGGAATTAGCTGCAACAAAAGGGAAGCTGGGGTCCACCTTGAAGGCTTTGTGTGAGAAACTCTTCCCAGCAGCACCACAGCCAGCAGGGGAGGGGCTGCTCCCTGCTAGGGGCCAGAGGGGCTGTGGGACCTCATGGGAGCGGTAGGGGCAACCTGCCCCACCCTCTCCCCACCACCCCCATCCCCGCACTCGCCATGACTCACAGGCACAGACCACTGGAAAGGATTTGGTGTGTTTTCAGGTTTCATTCACAGATGGGCCTGGAGCGTCCCATGTCGGCCCCAGCCCAACCTTTTCACTGGCGCTGTGGGAGTGGGGGGATGAGGGGATGGGGACCAATGGAATGACCCAGTATGATCCCTGGCCATCACCAGACATCCGTAGTAGTCTTTTCAGAGGTCTCTTTTCTGTCCCAGGGTCCCACACAATGTGCCACCTCATATCTCCTCTGCTCCTCTGGGCTCCATTCTTGTTTCTGATGACCTCGACAATTTGGGGAACATGTGTGGACTGCCTGAGGCTTCCACTGCTTCTCTGGGCGTTCCAGGCAGAAGGCCACAGAGACCAAGTGCCATTCTCATTACTTTGTCCTCATCCAGGGCACATGCTCTCGATGTGCCTTATCACTGTGGAGCTTGACCTTGCTTAGGCTGAGTGTTTGCCAGCTGGGTGTTCTGAAAGACGGGGGCAGGGGAACTGGACACGGGACTGGAGGTCCGTGCTCCTCCCATCTGTCTGTATTGTTCACTGCCGACTGGTGGATAGCTATCGGGCACTAGGAGATGCAGCCACCGCCGACTGCTTCCTTTTGTTGCTCACGGTGTTTTTTCATCTTTTGCCCCTTTGACAGGTGCCCATCAGTCTGTGTGTTCTGGGTTATCACTTCCTTCCCCTAAGACTCTAAGACTCCCCGGGCAGATCTTGTATGTTTCCTGCCCAGTCCCAGTATCAGCCATTTCTCCAAGGAACAAAGATGCGTCACTTGCTGGGCTTACTGCTATTGGAGTATTCTTGCTTCTAGGTCTCTCAGTTGACAAAAAAACACTCAAAACTCACTGCCATCGAGTCAATGCCAACTCCTAACGACCCTATAGGACAGGGGGTTTTGAAACGGTGACTCTTTATGGGAGTAGAAAGCCACATCTCAGCAGCCCGGAAATATATACGTGTACTAACTCGTGTATTTACACATATCTATAAATATTCCCCGGTAGCAATAATGGGTTCTGCATTCGACTGCTAACCCCAAAGTTAGCATTTCCAAACCACCAGCCATTTCCCAGGGGTTGTGGCTGGCGGGGAGGCAGCGAGTTGTGATAAGTAGTCCTATATACATGCATTGTGTGTGTATTCAGCTTAAGAGGCGTTCATATTGATGTCTCCAATTTCAGTGCAGGACCACAGGGATCCTCCTAGCCTTTTCTACCTTGCTTGTCTGTCACCTCCCCGTCAACAGTGAGAAACTTGGCTCTGGCCATCTGTTACAACTTAATCTTTCGGCTCCCTGATAGCTGCCGAGGGAGTGCAGAATCACTTGCCCCCACATGCCTGGGAAGCAGCTTTCTCAGGCACAGGGCAGGGCTTGCTTGCCGTGCCTTTTCCCTGCAGCAGAACAGATGCACCTCATGTCCAAAGTAACTTAGGTTGACGCCCCCCGAGCCCTGAGTCCTTCCCGTGATCTGCTTGCACATCTTCGGTCACAATCTGCAAACCATCCTGGGAGTCCCCGACCTCCTGAAGGGTCATAGTGAATTTTGCCAACTTGAAAATTCTTGCCTACGGGTTTTGACTTAATGCACAGTGCCAATCCTCTGCCAAACACTGATCTGTTTACAGTCTGGATGTTTTTGGCCTTTCCAGAAAGTTCACCTAAGTGGAATCTTTGAGTGTGCCCCTTTGTCAGACTGACTTCTCACTGCAAGGTCAGAGAAAGATGGGGCTTCCTGCTCCCGTAAAGAGTCACAGTCTACTGTGGCCTATAGCGTCACTGTGAGTTGGGATCGACTCAGTGGCTCCGATAACTGGCTAGTCACTAGTTGAGGGCTATCCTCATTGCTTTCAGTTTGGGCCACTTCTGAGCAGAGGGACTGTAAATGTTGGCATGCAGGTTTTCATAATGAAAATGCATTTTCACCTCACTTGGCTAAAACTTGAAGGGCACGAGTGCTTAGCTTTCTCAGGAACTGCCCGACTGCCTTCCACAATGACTATCCCTTTTGGCAGGCACACTGGTGCTGAAGAAGAGTTCTGGTTGCTCCACATCCTCACCAACCAGTGGTGGTGACAATGTTGTGGATGTGTCCTAGGAGCCCTGGTGACTGAGTCGGTTACTCGTTGGGCTGTTAACTGCAAGGTCAGTAGTTTGAAACCACCTGCCAAGGCTTTCTACTCCTGTAAAAAGTTACAGTCTTGGAAACTCAAACGGCAGTTCTACGAAGCCCTCTCGGGTTGCTGGGAGTCAGAATTGATGACTCGCCGACAGGGAGTTGGGTTTTGAGGACAGAGTGTGGGGCACCAGCCCCCACAATGGAACGGGTCCAAGGGGTGGTTGTGTCATGGAGGGGTAAAATTAAAGAGACATCAGACAAGATAAAGCATGAAAGTACTGATTTCAGGAGACAGATCCATGCAGAGAGAGAATATATTTCCAACCAAGGCTTATCTACACTCAGGGGGCGTGCAAGC